TCTTCTGACTGTCCTACGTGCCCGGACCTCAGTCATAAAAGCAGAGGCCCATAAACTTCTTGGTGCAATGAAGCTTTAAGCTTTAAACTGTGAAGTTTAGTTTAGGCAAGCTTTGCTTTTGGGATATGAGTCTTCAGGAAGCATGAAAAATCCTGTTTCAGGGCCAATGCATTGGCTTAGCTGATAAAGGTGTCTGTCTTCAAGCCTGCTGACCTGAGTTCAATTCCCCGGGGCCTACATAGTGAAAGGAGAGAGACTGACACCCCAACAATTATCCTCTGACCTCTACACACATGCTGAGGCACAAGCACATGCCCAAACATACATACACATATACTTTAAAATCTGGCTTCAGATGACTCCATAGCTCAACAGGGTCCGGGTAGGGGTAGTCCCATGAGGATTTCAACCTCAGTGTTGTGGACATCTGGGTCTACTCAGTCTGTGTTGCAGAGATTGTCCTGTGGAGCATAGGACACTGTGGTGCCTGTGGCCCGTTCCTTGAATATGACAACCCTAAGTGTCTCTAGATATTCTCGCTTCCAATCACCGAAGGCATGCCATCAACCTTGGTGGAAAGCTATTATTATTATTATTATTATTATTATTATTATTATTATTATTATTTTTGAGACAGGGCTTCTCTGTGTAGCCTTGGCTCTCTTGGACTCCCTTTGTAGACCAAGCTGTCCTTGAACTCACAAAAGTCCGCCTGCCTCTGCCTCCCTTAGTGCTGGGATTACAGACAGGCGTGTGCCACTATGCCAGTCCCCGAAACCATTAATCAGGGAGGATGTGTGGAGACAGGAGGATGAGAAGTTCAAGGTCATTTCCTGCTTCATAGAGAACTGCAGCCTGGCCTGGGCTACTTGAGTCTGTTTCAAAATAAAATGAAAACAAGCTATAATATGCTCTTGCATGTTTGCACTTTTTGTTGTTGTTTTTCAAGACAGGGTTCCATTGTGTAGCCTTTGCTGTCCTGGAACTGCCCCTTTGTAGACCAGGCTAGACTCTGAGTTCTGATTTCCTCTGATTTCTGTGCTGGGATTAAAGGCTCTAGGAGGCACTACTTCTCTGTTGCATTATTCCTCTCCATAGTGAAGTGAAGAGCTCGCAGAGCTGACCTATATGGTCAGAAGTCAGGACAGAGGGCTAGGGGTGTGACTCGATTGGTGGTGGGCTTGCCTGGCATGAAGGAAGCTCTGGATTCCATCCCCAACACCAAGTGAACCAGGGGTGGGAGGGGCCACACCTGTAATCCCAGCCCTTGGGAGGTGGAGACAGGAGGATCAGAAGTTCAAGCTCATCACTGGCCAGTTCCAGGCCAACCTGGCCTACCCTATCTCAAACAAAAGCTGAAAATAACCAAAGATCAGGCTAAAGTTCCTTTGTTACGGAGAAGGGAAGGGTGGCTGAACAAGACAACATGGGGACTTCATTTGTGTTTGTTTATCTAGTTGTTTACTTTCGAGACTAGGTCATGCTATGTAGTCTAGGACAGACCCAGAGTCACTGGCCTAGAATTCAGGATTCCTTCTGTCTCAGCCTTCCCAGTACTGAAATTAGTGTGTCTGTATGCCTTTCAGTGTGCACACTGGACCATAACTTTATTTAATTTATTTTATGTGCATTGGTGTTAGGGTGTCAGACTACCTGGAACTGCTTACAGACAGTTGTGATCTGCCATGTGGGTACTGGGAGTTGAACCCCGGTCCCTTGGAAGAGCAGACAGTGCTCTTAACCACTGAGCCATCACTCCAGTGCCCCCCACCCCTGTTAATGTTTTAAATATAAGGTTTCACTTTGTAGCTCAGAGTAGCCTGGAATTTGTAACAATCCTTCTGCTGCAGCCAGCTGAGCACTGTGATCACAGGTGTGAGTCACCACACTCAGTTTTATTTGAGGCTTTGTGATCACCATATCATTTGAGTCCCAAAACCTGTATCACATTAATTATTTAATTAAGATATTTTAGTTGTAGAGATATTTTTAAAACATTACATTGATGTGTGTGTGTGTGTGCCTGTGTGCTTGCAGACTTGTGAGCACATGAGTGTGTACCAGAGCCTGCAGAGGACAACTTGATAAGTTTGCTCTGTCCTACCAGGAGGAACTTAGGTAGCAAACCTGGGCTTGGAAACAAGCATCTTCACCCACAGGGCTATCTCGGCAGCCCAATTTTGGCATTTTTAGTCAGGATTTCATGTAGTTCTCTCTGTGTAGCCAAGGATGATCTTGGACTCCTAATCATCCTGTCTTCAAGCCACTCCCTCCCCCAGGGATTACAAAGCCATATCACACCATTCAGCATCGGTATTTTCTTCTACATTGTTGGGTGGGTGGGGGTGGGTGACTGAGGAAGTGTTTGAGAGCAGACATGTCACAAGATGTGCCTGAGAGACCCACAGTGTTCATCCCAGAGGCCTCCGTAGCTTTGGAGTTCAGGAGAAGCTGTGAGGCCGCTTCTGTATCCTCTCCAGCTGGTCAGCATTTACAAACTGGGGCACATCTGTTCCTCACAGTCGGCATGGAGAAAGGGAGGGGTCAGCGAGCCACAAAACCCCCGGCACTAGGATAGATCCTACCCAAAGGCCAAGACTCCTAAGTTGGAGCCTTGCGGTGGATCTCCATACAGGATTCGAGATGATTCACCAAAAGGCCACTTCTTGGCGGGACCTGGTGGTGCTTGCCTGTAACCCGGCACGCAGGAGGCAGAAGCAGGGGGATGGCTGTGAGTCTGAGACCAGCATGGCTGCAGAGTGAGTTCAGAGCCAACCTGGGCTACAGAATGAGACTCTGTCCCCACCCCCTAAACCCCTCTTGACCACCTGGCCTCCTCTCCTCCTTCCTTTCTGAGGTTCCAGCTACTTCGAGACTTAAAGTTGTTTCGCCCTGGGAACACTCCCAGAATGCACTTGGGTGATGGGGAGAGGGCTCTGCAGAGAGGCCACTATAAAGTATAGTGAACACAGCGTATTTCTAGGTACTGTACCGCACTTAGTACACTGTGCGTAGGAGCTCTGGAAAATGTACACCCATGTGCTCAAGGACACCCTCCTCAGACCCATGCACACATACTCACAGCTGGTTAAATGACCCCAGACATGCAGAAGTGTGCACGTGGGACAGCAGGCCCATAGCAACATAGAAACACGCACACCCCAACATACACACGCACACTGAAATGAACGATATTGAAAGGCCCATCCAGATACCCTCTTGTTACATTTCCTTGCAGCTTCAGAATGGCTGGGGATCTAGAGCCACAAACAGCAAAAACTCTTGCTTTTCATGGGATTCCCTGGGAAATGAACTCACTGAGTCCTAAGCCAGGGCATGGCTCTAGACGGTTTGGACAACGTCTTTGAGTATGTCTCTTACAGGGGCTGTAGTCACTTTCCAGAGGAGACTTGACCTTGCCGGGGGGGGGGGGGGGGTCCCAGAGAGGCAAGCAAAGTGTGAGTGCACAGAGTGACGGCCCCAGGACTCTGGTTGAGTTAAGGCTGTTGATGACCAGGACAGGGAGTAACAGGGGCCCCCCAGGAGACAAAATAAAAAACAGCCATCTTCCAGCCCCCTTTCTCCAAGGTCTAATTACAGATGTCTTGACATTCCTCCTGCATTGAATTTCCTTAAAAGACTTGCCAAGAAGAAACATTTGGGAACTGTGTTTTGGGTTCAATCTGGGAATCACCCTTACTCACTTAGTCGTTGGATGACAAAACACTTAATTACAACAGGCGCAGGGCACACCACACTGCCACACTGAATCCTCGACCCACATCACATACTGGGTCCCGACAGTGGCCTTTTGTACAAACCAACGTCTCTGATCTTACATTAATTACTACACAAATATACTCATTGTGGGTACCAGGCTTATAGGATGGAGTCTTCTTGACACATGTTCACAATAAAATGCATTTTTCCACTCCCTTCCCCTGACCCTGAGTGTGGGGGTGGGAGGCGGGCAGGGACAGACGAACATTTTTCAAGATGCATTCCCTGTTTGTTCTTTCCCGCCTTTTATTAAAGAGCCCCTTAAACCCAGCATTCCTGGCTTCTAACGGCTTTCCTTACTTTTGCTTTTATGCCTGGGAGAGACAGATTAGATTAGATTAAAGACCGGGGGACACCTCATGAAATCCATCCCATCTAGACGCCATTTGGCTGATAGGGCCAAGGGGGGTGGGGGTGGGGAGGTGGAGGGTGGTCTGTGCGTCTATGTGTCTGTTTCTCTGTGGCTTGCTGGTGGTCTCTTAGCAAACACCTTGTTCTGGTTGCATTTACCACCTCTCATTTCCCCATTCCCCCACCCCCACTTTAGCAGTCTATAGCCTTTTGAGGCCAGGAGGATGGCTCAGTGGGTAAAGGTGCTTGCCCTTAGGCTAAGCTTGGCAGGAGAGACCTGACTTCTATAAATTGGCCCCTGATTTCTACATGCTGCATGCTGTGACATGTGTGAGCAACGTCCCCTACCACAATAGAAAAATTAATTGATTAAAAAGAACAGGCTTATAGCCTTTGATTGTGGTCTGATTTTATGGTCAGTGACTTGTTTAAGAGGAGCCTAGCTCCTCAACCCAACAATTACTCCAAGTTTTGCCCTTAAAAAGGCAAACTATAGTTGAAAAAAAAAATTCTTTTTTGGCCCCCTTCTTCCTACCTGCCCTAGGGTAGTTTGATGATGTCATGGTGGTATCCAAGGCAATACTGTGACATCACATCTCAAAGAGTACCCCTGACCTTGGCCTGGAATTCAAAGGAAAATCAGCTCATAAACTTCTAAAGCTAGCAGGAGATAAATATCCTTAGTCATAAAAGAACAAACGACGTTGGGGTGAGGGGCCTGGGGGGAAGCATGCTGTAAAAGTCCCTGCCAGATTTTCCAGGAAGTGCCAGCAGCCATTAAAACAGAACGGGAGAGAACAACGGGGCCAGAGAGCTTGCCCACAATCCTAGAATCAAATAGGTGAGGTCTCTCCTCTCTCTCTTTCCAGAAACCATCAACTTTAAAATGGGAGCAGAGGGGTGAACCCAAGCCGATTGAAGCAAAAGTTAACCAACCATTCTCCTTGGAGTGAGCAAGGATCAGTAGGTGAGAGTGGGAAAAGGCGCCCCCCCCCCCACCATGGTGCCCATAGAAAGGGAAAAGCGTTCCATGTCCAGCTGGGCCCAGGAACAGAGAGATGGTGACGCACAGGCACATAAATTATGGAGCCTGGCTAAGGAAAGGGTGGGACAGTGTTGGCTTCTTGGGGTTTTTGCCTTTTTTTCTTTCTTTTTCCCCTTTTGATAGTATTTTACTCCACAGGCTAGGCTGGCCTCCCATTTCCAGGGACCCCACTGCCTCTGCTGAGGTTTAAGGTGAGCAGCGCTATACAGGGCAAACTGTTGTTTGCTTTAGGGTTTCACGGTTCAGTATGGCCTTGAACTTTGGGCAGTTTTTCTGCTTAAATATCCCCTACTCCCCCCAAGTGTTGGGATTACAGATGTGAACCACTGAGCCTTGATTGGGCCTTAGTGATTTGTATGGCATTAGGGTCCCTGGCCACAGAAGCGTAAGGCCTTTCTGTAGTGCTAATGAAGTTTTTCTTCAATATAAAATCATTGTCAAAGCAGAGGTGGAAAAATGTCAAGTTCAAGGGCGACCTGGAGTGCTTGGCAAGAGTCTGTTTTTTGTTTTATAGGAGTTGGGTAGCACATGCCTGGCATGCACAAGGCCCTGTACCTGTTTACATCAGTCTGGGTACCGTAGATCATGTCTCTCTCTCTGATTTTTTTTTGGTTTTGGGTTTTTTGAAACAGGGCTTTTCGATGTATCACTTTGTAGACCAGGCTGGCCTCAAACTCACAGACATCTGCCTGCCTCTGCCTCCCTGAGTGCTGGAATTATAGAGATTATATCTTTTAAAACTTTGTTTTTTTTTTGCATAAGCATGGGGGTATATGCCTTTAATTCCATCACCTGGGAAGCAGAACAGAGCCAGCCTTGTCTACATAGTGAGTTCTAGGATGACCAGGGCTACATCTGTCTAAAAAGAAGACAAAAAAGTTGGTGAGTGTGGTGTCTCATGCCCAGGAGGCAAGAGGCAGGAGGAACTGCTGCAAACTGAAGGCCAGCTTGGTCCACACAGTTAGTTCCAGGTCAGCCAGGCCAACATAGCAAGACCAGGCCTCAAACAAATAATGAGAAAGAGAGAGAGAGAGATTATTGTAAAATAAAACATCCATTTGTGAAAAGGAAAAAAACTCAGCTACCACCTTCCAGCTCTTGGGTGGAAGCTGTGCCCTTAATAGGTAAAGACCATGAGCTGGATTTATGTGGAAGGTGACAGTAAACCCAGGCAAGAGAGACTGAAGTTTTCTCTAGGCAATTTAGAAAATGAAAGCTACAGCTACGCATGATGGCATATGTCTGTAATTCCAGTACTTGAGATGAGGGCAAAAGGGTTAGGAGTTCAAGGTCATCCTTGGTTACTTTGAGGACCAACCTGGATTGTGGGAAATGGAGGGAGAAGAAAAAATAGAAAGAAAGAAAAAGAAAAAGAGAAGACAATGGAAATGTATGTGTGTCCTCTGGGGCTAACCTAAGGCCTCAACATAGACTCCATTTTTGAGCCTTCCAAGAATCACCTGGCCTGCTGTTGCAATGGTTGTCTCATCTCTTAGACATCCTGAGTGTTGGCCACACTGCATGAGTAGCTGGCCTGGAGAATTGCAACACTGTCCCTTGTTGTCAGGAGGACCCGCATGTGACATTTCTGAGGTTTGTTTTCTTGACTTTTAAAACAGGGCGGCCTGAGGGATCACACCAGCAAACACAACTCTTGTTCCAGGAAGCTTGGATCGATTCTTACAGACTGAGGCTGAAAGCCAGTGCTGAGGAACAGTTAGTGTTGACGATAAATTAGTGATGTCTGCCACATCACTAAAGAGTGGAAGAGTGGACAGGTGCCTACCATTCCACCTTCCGTTCCTGAATGGATTCCTGATTCTGGATTTCCTCCCTGGGTGTGTGCTCGTGGTAGTTCGCATACGTAGACATGAGACACAGCACGCTGTGTGCGTCCCTGACATTTGGAGGAGATCAACAGCAGGCTTTCACTGACTGTTCTCAGGGCTGTGATGACAGGGATAGCCTTGGAGTGCTAAGCAGGGAAAAGTGACCCACAAGGGAGGGACAGGCAAAACTGACTTTCTGAAGCAAGTGCCTTCTAAGCTAGCTTCTAAAGGATGAATGAATAGATATTACCTTGGGAAGAGGGTCTGGCAAGATGAGAATGGAATTTGGCTGCATTTGGGTAAGACAAATTGCCTTGTGAAATCTGATAAGTACTGGGAGGGGAGTAGGGAGCCATGGAGGAATTTTATGCAAGGGATAGTCATTATCGACAAACAGAGTCATTTTGAAAGTCAGGTGTGGTAGGGCACCCTGTGGTTCCAGCAGAGGGGAAGCTAAGGGACAATTTGAGTTTCTAGGCTAGCATTGATTACAGAGCAAGTCTGAGGTTAGCCTGAGCTAGAGAAGCTATCTCAAAACAAAGCAAGGTCTAGGAATGTATCTCTGTAGGTAGAGGCATGCATGAGGCTTGATTACAAGCATATGGGTTTGATTAAATACCCATATAAATTACATTTCAGTAATCGGGAGGTCAAGGGAGGAGGGACAAGACTGTAAGGTCATTTTTGGTTACATAGTGAATCCTGCCTAAACAAACAAACAAACAAACAAACAAACAAACAAATGAGAGACCCATTCAACAGATGAAGGGCAGAGGCATGGAACTGTGAAATGGATTGAATAACAAGTTTGCTCTCCAGGATTTCTTCCTACCTCATCCTCAGTTAGCTTAGCCCACTTTGAACTGTATTATCCCATGTCAGAGGAAAATAACTTTGCTGTGCTCAGTTGAATACTTGTGTTTTGGAACATGCCCACTGAGAATGTGACCTTGCTTGGAAATAGGGATTCTGTAGATAATTGGGTGGAGAGGAAGTACTAGTGCATTTGTGTGGGCTCAAATTCAATGAACCAGTCCCCTCAGAAGACGAAGAAAGAAGAAGAAATAGGAAGAAGAAGAAGGAGGAGGAGGAGAAGAAGAAGGAAGAAGAAGAAGAAGAAGAAGAAGAAGAAGAAGAAGAAGAAGAAGAAGAAGAAGAAGAAGAAGAAGAAGAAGAAGAAGA